AATTCCATTCAGATATGCTTTTAATCATACCTATTATTCTATGGATTTTTTTTTCCTACTATCCTATGCCTGCCATTTTTTTACTCATTGCATTTTAAACAGTAAGACAAATTCCAGTGTGTTTCCTCATCTGGAGAAATTTAAATATCTATTAAAAGAAATCATTTATGTCAGTCAGGATTAATTTTCCCCTACTAATTTTAAAATCATTGCTTTTGCAATGTCAGGCTAAAGCTTATAACCAATTCATTTAAAAATACTTGTGGTGGGGACAGCTTTTCTGAATTTTACATAACTGAATACAAGTGAAAACCAAAATGAAACAAGTACAAAACTTTGGCTGCATGAACCTTTCCATTGACTTCATGGAGACCAGCTCTGCTTAACTTGTAATTCACTGCTGGAGCATTAAGGGACAAGTGCATAATTTAATTGACAGTTTTCTTACAGTGACATAAAATCCATATAAATTCCAAAGCAAATAATTTCATCATTAAAAGGGAAATTATGGTTTTCTTTATTCATGTCACTTTTAACTTTGAAAATGCTTTTTACTTTCCTACAAGGAAAGGCTAAGAGAATTGGGATTGTTCACTCTGGAGAAGAGTAACCTAATTGCAGCCTTTCAGTTCCTAAAGTGAGCCTGCAAGAAAGATGGAGAAAGACTTTTTACAAGGACATATAGTGATAGGACAAGGGGAAGTAGCTTCAACCTGAAGAGAGTAGTTTTAGATTAAACAGGAAAAACATCTTTACTGCGAGGGTGGTGATGTACTGTAACAAGTTGCAGAGAGAAATTGCGAATGCCCCACCCCTGGAAGTGTTCATAGTCAGGTTGGATGGGGCTTTGAGCAAACTGGTCTGGTAGCAGATTCCTTGCCCATTGAAACCAGAAGATCTTTAAGGTCCCTCCCGACCCAAGCCATTCTGTTATTCTATGATTCTGTGATAAAATACTTAAATTGGCCAAAGTTAGGAATATAGATTCTCAGACAGCTTGGAAGCCTAAAAATACATTTTCAAAACTACAAGCAACAAACATTGCTTGCACCAAAGAGCAAACCCTGCTCATGCAGTTAGAAACATGGCTCCAAAGGTCTGTACGCCTGGGGCTCACATTACGGCTGAGATAAGCCACTAAGCTGTGTTTTCAATTTTGTATTTGAACTTCTGCTGCCCCTAGAGTAGTAACTTTTAAGTGAAGCCTCAGATGTGACTTTCAATATAACCCAGCATTTTTAAACCTGCAAAGGTGTTGAAGAGGATCTAAATTTGAGGAGCTTGTACACTTAGAAAATCAGCTCAAGAAATTACTACAGCAACACTTTTACCTTTTGTGATGGGAAGAAAGCAACTTATTAGGTGTTCAGAACACTGCATAAGTTGAATTTTAAAAAGTGGATTTTTCTAAACAACCATCTGCTCAGCTGCCCATTATACTGTCAGCAGCAATCACATGAGGAACCTGGTTTCCATGTATGAAAACAAAGAATGAACATGATTGTGCAGCAAATTTTTTTGTTAGCATTTGAGTTCCCAAGTGTGCAGGTAATGATACTACAATATTATATACCTGCATCTTTGGTCAGTTACTGAAATTTTGTCTGTGAAGTCCAAAAATTATTTCAGGAAAACATAAACTGCACTGAGGAATATGAATTTGTTCGGAGGGTTTTATTCCATTGTATGGAAAGCACTGTCTATTGGTTCAGTCAGTTTATTTGAAAACTCCAGCTATTCTGCAGAGTGGAAAATTATGTGATTACTGATGCATGCAGTAACTCCCACGTACTTCCAGCTGCCATCTCCTGCCAAGGAGCAGAGAGGCTGTAGTCCCTTTTCCACCTGAGGCACACCTTGGAACAGGAAAAATGTTCTCCTGGACAGCTTCTTATTGGCTCTGGAAGTACCATTCTTGCAGGCAAATTCTTATGTGCCTCCTGCATCTTACAGTTCTCCTTTGTGCTAAAGCTTCCTTGAACCAGCTGCATGGTTCTGTCACACCTACTGCCATGGCTGGGGACACTGTGTTCCCTCCCCACTCCCCTTCACTTTTGCTCATCTCTGTCATTTGATTTCTTTCAAAAGCTCTTTCTATACTTCTGCTTAACTTTCTGCACTTCACTGAGTATCCTAATCCAGTAATGTCTGCTGAGAATATGGTATCCTGCCTGATCATTTATGAATCAGTTTCTATACTGGGAAATACCATTTATGACATTTTCTTCAATAATTTTATTAAGGTATTTTCTAAATAATTTTAAAACCTCCTGAATTATCTGAGTCATTTCCCTCATCTCTCAACAAAATCAGTCATGGATAACCCAAACCACAACTCCCACATCTGGTTTCTTTCCTCTATGAATTCTTCTCAACTTATAAATCACATGACTCCAGAAGTGATGCTGAAAATGAAATGTGAAGTCACCTGGTAACTTTTTTAAGTTTTTATATAATTTTTGTTCTTTGTGCTTGGCTCCATACAAGTCCATGTCTCCATACAGAATCTCATGTTGCCCATTTTTGTTTAAAACATTAATTAATTTTAATAATAACATTTTCTCTCAAGATCACAGTTTGGTTCAAAGATAATTAATTCTGCTTCTAAACTGTTTTTTATTAAAAAAAAAAATATATATATGAACCTTTAGATACAATTTAATAATTTTAGCTATTCCATAGTAGCAGAAAGCCTCATGAACTCATGCATTCATCTTCAGAAATAGATCTAAAAATGCTAGTCCTAAGGAACTGATAGACAAGAGCAGTAAACTTTGCAAGGACATGGTAATTGGTAAGTGGAAATGTAGGGTCTACCCTTGAAATGAACAAATCTCTATATCCCCTCACTCCACCCCTAAGGCCTTAGCGTTTGAATATTTTTGGCAAGTATTACTTGAAAATGTTTCCCTATACTGCCCTAAGGGTATTCAGTAACTACAAACACCTGTTTTAATACAGCCTCCCCAGAGAGTGCATTTTCTAACACCCTCTCATTTTAAGAGCTCTCCCCAGACATGAGGCAAGAACTGTCTCAAAAAATACTAACTGCTCGTGAAGCTGTCAGCAAGATAAGATGAGCATTGGTTTTAATTTTCACTGTTAACTGTGCTCTCATTGGAACACATAAAGATCTCTGACAGCAAGCTTCCAGTTCTCTTATCCTGCTTTAAAGTGTTTTCAGGGAAGCATTATCCCACTTGTTTGCTAAATGCATTTTTCCTCCCCTGATAGTGAGAAAAGAATCTGGAAAGGAAATGCCTTGTTCCCCAACCAGTGCTCTGTTGGCTGTCACTAGCAGGAACAGCACTGGCTAAAGCTAAGGCTTACAAAGATGAAAACATAAATTGTTTTTACAAGATTACTGAGCTAGTGCAGCTGGAAATGCTCTTCAGCATTAGGCAGCTGTCCTTTGACAATATTGCCAAGAGACATTGTCAGATGTATTTAATATTTGGCAATCATGGCTGAACTACCAGGATTGTAACCCTGTCAGCATTTACAGATTCAGCTCTATTTGAAGTCAGAGGTGGCATTCTTACACTTTAAAAACTCTGATTATTCACCAAGATGAAGCTAAGCAACCTGTATGGTGAGCAGCCACGTTTCTTCTTTGTAATTCTCTTCAGATACAAAAGACTTGGTGGCTAAAATCTCCTTGGCAGGCAGTGAGTAGCCTCCTTTTATGGTATGCACCATGTCATCAACACTTCACGCATTCCTGCATGAAGGAACACCCTTGCTTTTCATGTCTGCAAGCCAGAGCAGTAACTGTACATGTTTCCTATGCTTAAAATGTTCCCAGTTCAAATTACAAAGGCCTTCCAAAAGGCCTGGAAGTCAGTTTTTGGTATGATGCTGAGAACGCTGTACCAGCTGGAGCCATCGGTACTGATCAGAAAAGGCTAGAATTTTGCTTTCCCTGTGTCTTGGTGTGTCAGCACCACTTGGTGGTGTCTAAAGGGAGCACATGCCTGATGCCATCTGGCTGGATTTCCTGAATACTTCTGAATAAAACCCTGCATAACCTTGGCTCCAAGTAGAGTGGTCTTACAAAAATCTGTTTGGGAAGAGTTACATTTTTGCTTAAACATCAGGGAGTCTGCATACAAGTCCAGAAGTGCATTCCTCTATCCTCTGCAAAGACAGAGAGATGCTGGCAACAAGTGAGGAAATGGTAGCAGATATTGAAGCTGGGGATATGAAGAAGTCCTATGCAACTGGAAAGCCTTGTAACTTTCTCACCATTTTGACTGTCCTAAACTGTCATCTCTGTAGAACAGTAAAAACCCCCTGCCCCTGCGGAGCTGAGTGCTAATGAGTGTTACTGTGTGCCATTAGCGCTGTCTTAATGCCAGCAGGCTGGGATATAAAGGAAAAATACATACACAGAAGCAAGATCAGAGTGGCTGATGCTGAGTCACAGTAAAGCTCAGCAACACTGAAATGCTGTCAACCTGGGAAGAAATTATTGGAGTTTTTACTAAATTCAAGGTTTTGTTCCTGCATGAAGCCAGCTAAGAAAAGGTAATTTACTATCTTGCAGGAAATGCATGCATAGAATCAAACCTGGGACAGAAGGAAAAAAGGCACCAGTCTGGAGCCAAATCAGCATGTTCAGTTAAGTTTTCCTATACGTGCAGCAGAGGGAAAACAGTCTGATAACCATCTACTGTTGCAGCTGGCAGGTGCATTAAAACTCACTTTCATTCTACAAAGGGAAACAAAGCCACTGTTTGGTGACTAGCATACTGGATTATTTTTGCCTGTAGCTTTGCACACAGAATCAATTGAAATATGGGAAGAAACCTGAATACGGGAAAACAAGCTAATACTGTCGGCACAGAATAAAATGATGCAGTGATGGCAAAAACAGAACTTCTTCTTGGAGAGAAGATATTTATGAAAAAATGTAATTTCCTATCTCAGTAAAGGCAAGTTAGTCTGCAGAAAGATTGTGTGAACTTCCCAGCTCTCAATTACATATTCACAATTTGTAAAGTTCCAGAAACACTTTATTTAAAAATGGAGTTGTAAATGCATATAACAAAATAACATACATAATAAATGTAACAAAAATAAATAAAGAGAACATGTCCATACAAAATAATAACATAGTAATGCAAAATGCTTATTTCACAACATAAGGGTAAAAATGCCTGAAATAACACAAACAGAATCTCGTATGAAGAGCCTGCACCTTTAATCCTTCCTAGCCGTTTCCTACCTTCCACTTGAATCTGCAGAAAAATTATGTTCCCAAGAATTAAACAAAAAAAGGAATTATGGTGATGGTTTGGTACACTCAGTTTTCCACACCTAGCTCTAGTTTCCATTTATTTTTGCCCTTCTGCACCTTCAAAAAGTTTTCCTGTAGCCTCTGTAAACCAGTGTCATTCAGGCTCCCACAGTTAGCTGGAGTAGAGCATATTGAGTCATACATACAGACTGTTTGCTTTTAAAATTTTTTAAAGAAAATATGAAATCCATTATACAACAGATTAGTGGTTTTGTTTTTACATCTCTACAAAAAAAGTTTTTGCATCTTTATTAACTGGTCCAACTTTTACTGATTTCTGAAAGCCTGTACAATTCAAAAGCGTACAGAAAGTAGGTTTTTTAAAAACAAATCTCATATAGAATTATTGCTGAAATATTAAAGACCATTTCATAAAAGCTGCAAAACTGTATCTTTAACCTTAATATATAGAGAGTGATGCAAACATAAGAAAATTCCAGTCTATTAGTTACATTTAACAGAAAAAACATTCCTCCAAATTACAGTGTTCTGGAAATACAAAGTAATTTACTTTAATTTTTTTTATTATTTCCAAATGTTAAGTTACTGGGACAACTGATAAAGAAAATAGGCTTATATAGGAAACTTCAAATAGACTTGCTTTTCAGTGGTATAAGCAAAATGTCCATGTTAGCAGTCGTCCTTTTTAAATATGTAAGACAGGGACAGCATTACTAGCAAGACTACAGGAAAATATACAGAAGCAAATAAAATCATTTGCTTGGGAGTGCATCTATCAATCAAGCAAATCATGACAACTCTATTTCCAAGTTCCCTAAAGAAAATTTTACATCTCATGATCATTCCAAATAAACAGTAATTTCTTCTGTAAGATTACGCTGCATTTGGATTGGTGAGAGCCCATTTGCCTCAATATGGTTTAATATGTCCCACATTGCTATATGCTCAAATTTGTTTCCTAGTTAGTTTCAACAAAGATTTGGACAGAAATGAGATATGAAATATTTCTACTTTCATTAACATCAAAAAGACTTTTGAAGATCAAAAAGTGCCGAATAATCTTTTCAGGAAGTGGATTAAAACACTGTAATGATAATACAAGGACAGTATTATCAGTTTTCTATGTACACCAAAACACTGCTTGCTGTTCAACAATATCGGTATGTTCACCTACCACTTCCAGCAAACCTTAGTGCAAACATAATATGTGAACTTATTTGTAAACCCCAAGACAATTTACGCAGCAACAAAGTTACATAAACCACAGAACTGTTTGAGATTTTCCAGTACATGAGAATGAATGCTTTCTGAAATCTATCTTACTTTTGCAGTAATGTGTCATTGTAGTCAAAGATAGTGCTTCCTATATAAATCATCTAATTCAGAATCAAACATAACTGTCCAACAGTTCTGTACTACCTTTAGAGGAGGAAGTCTGTTCATCAGAGCAGCTTGGCAAAGAGATTTGGGGCTTTCAGTAAATGTTAGACTGCTTGCATGGCTTTTAAAAAGAAATAAATCTATTAAGGGAAAACTGCTGATATAATAACTCTTTTGCAAAGCACACAACCACAAAGGGCAAACCTGCCACAATCTGCTTTCCTACACTGGTATCTATGCATATCTTTATGATTTGAAAAGGATTTGTGTGACAATCAAAGCATCACAATTAAAGAAAACTGTTTAATAAAACAACAGCTGCTTGACCAAGCCTTTTTTTTTTTTTTTATAATTATAAAAACAAACATTATAAGTTTTCCTTGATTTCTAAACATTCCACATGAAAGGTTTTTGTATCAAACACTGAGATGTCACTCACGAAGGGTGGCATCTTCTTCTTCCCCATCTGGGTTAAACCTATTGAAATGTATGCTGAAATCTGCCTCGGATTCAGCATTTTCCAATTCAGCTGCCACAGGGCCGGTGGCAGGACGTGCAGCCCGAGCCTCGGGCTGGCAGTTTGGCTGCGCTGGTGGGCGAGGGCCCTGGGAAACAGGGCTGGACTTCGGCTTCGGCTGAGCTGGTAAGATGGGGCTAGCAAATCCCAAGTTGCTCAGAGCATCCAGGGTACCGTCAGGGTCAATCATGGCATTAATTGCTAAGCAGTCAAGAAGAGATGAGAAGGATAGAGAAGAAGCCATAAAAAAATACAATTTTCTGTTACTATAAAAATATGGAAATCCTTATCTCAGACTTTTATTTTTATGATGACAGATAAATTTTTATGTATGCTGCCCATGACAAAGAAATGATGTATCCAACATCAATGTAAACTGATACATTTATTTAAAGGCAGTTACGTATATTAAAACTTTAGATGAAATGAAACTGCACAAACTAAACACAAACTGATGTGTGGACAGGAAACAGAGATGATAAACTATCAACAATTAGGTTATAGCGACTGAACGATGGTTTTAATTCAAGTGGCTTTCACCCCTGATGTTACCATTATATTATGCTTTGTTCCACCCCACCCCCAGAAAATAGCCATACTTTCTGATTCTATGATTGAATAAAATTTGTATAAAAGAGCAGTCATTTATCCACACAGTGAGGGCTAACTGAAGTACCTAGTACCACTTCAATTTATTATACTATTAACATATTTGTTACATTTAACAGGACTGCTCTTTTTTTTATTTCCAGAATTGTACTAACACTTATTAATTTGTCTCTAAAGGTGGTTAATGACTCCCGAAACATTCTTTAGAAAAAATTATTTGCTCTTTGACTAAAATTTGAATACTAAAAATAAAAAATATAGGAAAATTATAATTAACATAATGACGATAAGCATGGAGCACTAATCCCATATAAAAATATATGATCACTCTTCTGCTTTTTAAAAAAAAAAGCCATGTTTGTTTATCAAGTGTATCAGCAGTTTATATGATAATAATGTATGTAACTGATACTGTGAATATATTTCAGTAAATCACAGTAACTTTGTTTCAGGTTATATATACACACATAGAGATGTCTATTAAAAAGACTGAAGCAAGCAACCACAGAAAAGTGAAAAAAGATCTGTACCTTGCAGCTGCTTCTCAACTCGTTTCAGTTCCTGTAAAATTGATGATATTTCCTAGAAAAGAAACAACCACGTGTCATTATCATAGAATCGGAAGAGGTTGGAAGAGATCCTTAAGCTTCAAGTCCAGCTATCCACGCAGCACTGCCACTGTAACTCTTACACCACTAAACCATCACCCAGTGCCTGATACAGATGCCTCATAAACACCTCCGGGGATGGTGACTCCACCACCCCCCTGGGCAATCTGTTCCAATACCTGACCACTCTAACAGTGAAAAATATTTTTCTAATATCTAATCTGAATCTTCTCTATCCCAGCTTAAGGCCATGATGGAAAAATAAAGGGTATTTCCAGTATGGAAAAAGAGATTTAAACTACCTCTCAGAAATTAACAATCCCGCTCCCAATCCTGTCCAATTGCATTATGCTATTTGGATTGTCCCTCCTGGCATCAAGAACATCCCTGCTGATGGTGGCCCAGCCATGGGTGGCAGTGCTGGAGGCTGGAGAGCCACGTCCCATTCAGAAACCCAGAGCCCTCTGCACCTCTGCATGCGCCTGCTACCATCCCCATGACCTCATTCTGACCCTTGCTCATCTGCCTGTGCCACCTCTGCTCAAGCACAGACCTACAGACACCACAGCTCTGCAGAGATTAGGCAATGTAACAGCAGACCTTGAAAGGGAAGTTACAGGATGAACTCAGTATTCAATGGAACAGAGTAATTTATAAGGTTGTAGAGATGTGAGTCAGACAGGGAGATGACTGCATCAGGGTTCTGTCTGTACCCATTGGCCCTGTGCCCATGAGCCCCTGCACAGCATCCCAGTGCTGGGGCCTCAACACTCCTCTGCCTTACAGATTTTTCTTCACTGTGCTGCACTGCTTGCTAGCACAGCCACAGCCAGAGCAACAGCAATGCACTTTTAAACATAGCAATCATTAAATGTAGCACATACTAAGCTGTAGGATCACAGAATATCCTGAGCTGGAAGGGACCCACAAGGATCATCAAGTCAAACTCCTGGCCCTCCACAGGACGCCCCAAGAATGTGCCTGAGAGCATTTTCCAAAGGGTTCTTGAACTCTGGCAGGCTTGGTGCTATGACTACTTCCTTGAGTAATTTCCCTGGTTACAGAATTAGCATATTTATATTAGTACAAATATGTAAATCCTACATATTGAAGGATCCGACATGGAAGAATACTGTTAAACCAGCTGCTGAGAAGAGCTGTCAGTGGTATTCTACAGCTGAGAATTTTCAAAGGCACTGATTTCAGAAAACTATTAATCCATTTCAGAAAGCTGTTTTGTACCAAGTAGTGTGATGTTCACGGGTGGCAAAGAGATTGATTATCTTTACAAAGTCATTATCTTTAAGCAGACTTCATGTCTGAGCTGGACATAAATGTTCCAAGGACAAAACAAACATCACTTAGAACTGTCCTCTCTTAAGTTTCAGTGTTCTGTGGTAAAAAAAGGCACTGCATTTGAACAACACATTGCTCTGAAAACGAAGCAGAAACTTGAAAATCAGTGAATCGACAAAAAACCCCTGAACAACCCATAAACTTTGATGTAGTGTGAGATGGTTTAATAGACTGAAAAAAATTCAGTAAAATGGTGAACTTAGGAATAAATATACAACTAACTTTTTTCTTTTTTAAAGAGTGCCTTAGACCCCCATATTAAAGGTATTTAGAATAGAAAACACTAAATTTGGATCTTATTCTGGACAGAGATAAGAGAAACTCCTTATATTATGATATTTATAAAATTAAAACCTTCCATGAGGAACTTGCTTAATTAAATTTTTGAAAAACTTAGCAAAAACTAACGGCAAATCTATTAAATTATAATATCAATTTATCATACTGAAGATTGCTCTTGATAAATACATCATTCTGCAGAAATTACAGGCCAAGTCTTTTATACTTCCAGGAAAAATCAATCTGGAGGAGTTTATTAACTGATGATCAGCTAACAGAGAAGTTCTAGCCTGTTCAATGCCAGAGGAAATGTATTCACATTTGAGCAGTTTTCTCTCCCACAAAAAAACCCTGCCTCTGTAAACAGATATTTTTTAACAGCACAGTCTGCAGATGGATAATGCAGATCGGCTCTGCCTGCTGTCTCATGTGAGGATGTTTTTCAAACCCTATGCTCTGTGTTCAGAAGCAGAGAAGTGTACTGAGACATAATGTATGGTCTGTCCCCTCACACTGTCACACTGTCTGGTCTTGAAATGGCCTGAATTAGGCCATAAACCATAGCTGATTTATGTAATTAGGCTATTACATAAAACAGCTGGAGTTCTAGTGGGCAATGTTACCACCTCCAGACAAAACCAACAGGATTTTCACTCAGAAGTCCTTTTGTCACAGTAGATAAAATATGGATAATATGGATTATTTTCATCACGTGCATTAAAACACAATTTCTCTTAGTATTAATAATCAGTATTAATAGTGTTAAGTATTAAATATTAAGTATTAACCATTTGTAGGTAAAGTAGTTTTTAGATTGTGAAACAAATTCATTCAAAAGCAATCTAACATTCAAACTAATGGTTGTTACCTTTTGTTAAACAAACATACTGATGGTTTATGTATAGTTTGAATCCCTTTTACTGCATTCTTTATCTGAAAATTTCCCCTGAACAATTACTTGTTTCTTAATGAGACAGTAAGTCTTAATAATTATTGAAGATTAGGTTTATTCTTGAAACACACTTAGTGTCTAAATAAGGGCTTTTAAAGATTTTTGCCCTTAAGTCACTGCAAATGACACATTCCTCTACTGATTATATAGCCATGAGATAAGCAGCATAGTCAGTCCCAGAAATGGTAACTATTCATACCATGCTTGATGTTTTCACAATGGGAACTTCACTTTCAGCTCGTAACTTGTTTTCGATTTCTTCCCAATTTCTGTCTTTGTCCTTAAATAATATTCTAGAAGAAAGGAATCCAACAGTATGTTTAAAATAGAAAAGAATTTCTATTTCTATTCGATTTCTATTTCTATTTTATTTTCACAAAATAAACTGAAATATTAAATAATATGATAGGAGAAAACAGCTTAAGGAGTACTTAATGAAAATAAAATATAAAATACTGAAACCTGACAGAATCTAACCATACAGTTTAAATTTCCAGGGAAGCATACAGGCTTTCAGCAAAATCATTATTATTGACATTAAAATGGTAGTTCTGTAGAGAAATACTTGTTTATGGTGTATATACAGACACAGCTGGTTCTTTCCTCCAGCACTGACACATTTTTTTTAAAGCCAGCTATTTTACTGTAGTGAGAAAGTTCCCCATTAATTCTGCATTTTGCAATAATAGCAAAACATAAGATAAAGGAATTAAACTTTTACATATTAATAAAAAATGAAACACTTCAGGAAATTTAAAAAATGCATTTCCTAGAAAAAGTTTTCATTGGAAGTCTCCACAAGCACATATATGTACATTTTATATATATATCTGTATGTTCTAGCAGTATGAGTATCACTCATATTGAATGCTTAAAGAAGTCACTTCTAATTGTAAAACCCCAAAGCATACTGGGAGATTCCCATTTTTTATGTTTTGCTTCCATACTTGATAAAATTTTTGTTTTCACTGTCATATAATAAACATAATTTAAACTTTCTCCATTGGCAAAAATGGAAAAGGGAAAAAAAAAAAAGCAACGTGCACATATTTAAGGTCTGTGAAGATACAGAGGAGTCCAAATCCACTCGTTCTCTTATTGGTATTTCAGAGTTAAAAGTTCAAAAGTAGTTGCAATAAAACTGCTAAGCAAACAAACCACACAATTTCAAATAATGGTCAAAGAGCACTATATTTAGAAGAAGCTATTACTGTAAGTAGGTCTCTGAGGAAGTAATTTTAAAGTTGGAAGTTCATGATACAGTGAATGTCACAAAGACTAAGATTTGGAAGAAAGCTGTGAGCTTGAGTACTCCATTTCTGTTCACCTTTCTTCAGTAGTGTATATCCCATGGGGAATTTCATTCTCCATTATTATTCTGTCAAGAATATCTAATTTTGCAAAATATGTGCCCTGACTTATTTTATCAGTACACAGATGTCTGTAGACAACTCATCCAGAAGCTGCTTTAACTCTTCTGTCTTTGAGTTCTTCACCCCTGCTGCTCTGGAATGTATTTATGTCAGAGGTTTCACTGTGAGGAAGTGCTGCTTTGATGATACAATGTCATGGGATGGAGGCAAGTGACCACTTCTGCCAGACTTGGGTGTATTCATGTACAAAGCATACAAGGAGTAAACATTAATACATACATTTTCTTAGGTAAGGAATAAATAAATTAAAAGTAATCAGAACTGGAGTGAAGAAAGCATGAAACATGTTATGGCCTTAATTAGGGTCATCATCTTTTGAAAACATTCATCATCAGAAGTCTTTTCTTATGTTCTGGAAGGGAGTGAAAAAGCTTGCAAAGCCATGCAACCTGGATACCAGAAATTTCAAACACAATGGAAAATTTAGTATTTGCTTGTCATTGAGGAGTTCAAATACACATTAAAAAAAAAAAGAAAAAAATAAAGCAGAGACAATGAAGTCCTTTAAGGGATCATAATTTTTTAAAAAAGCAACTTCTGGAAATATTTGATTCAGTATACAGACAATCTTATGCAGCTATACTTTAATATAATAGCATTTCTATCAGCTTGCAAAGCAGCAGGAACATAGAAAATAAGGCTTTATTTAGCAGTAAACAGCACTAGCAAATAAAAAAAAAGCGCTATTGTGATACTGTGTGATTTTTCATTTACCTTCTTGCCATGTTCTGTTAAAATAATTCTATCCTGATGTGTGCAATTAGTGCCTTTGCTTCTGTATGTGGTATTTTTAGAGCTAATGTTCTTACTTCTCTTTTAAAATTTAAAAGGTTCTCATTTCGTTGGTCACTTCATTAAAAAATAATGGAACAAAATGAAAACATTAATTAGAAATTTTGAAACTATTATCATTTAAACTAAAAAGTGGATGGCCCATTTGTTTTTACTGTAAACCAAGGAAGCCTATTTCCTTTCTTGCTTCATCTTTCTGAACACTTCATTTAGCTATTTTTAGTTTCCTAGGGGGTCATCATCTCTGTCTTCTTTGCTCTTCCTCTTACTAAGCATACTTTTCAAGTTAAAAGAATATATTTATAAATGCCTGTTGCCTTCTTCTCTTGCTTTTCCCTACTTTCTGAGGCAAACCCTGCTTGATTGTGCTCAATCCCCATTTTTCTTTGGGTGCACTTTGCAGGATGCACAGCAAAGAGCAGAGACCAATAGGCAGCACCTCCACTTCCGTGATTGCTTTGACAAGATCTTGCCTGACTGAAGAAGCTCTTGTCTGCCAACGTGAGACAAGCCAATGGCAATGCACTCACATCGCAGAGCACTGATAAAACTGATCTCACCACAAAACCTACTTATCTTTTCCCTTGGCTATCTCTGAAAACTCCTGTAAACTCATTATAACATGTAAAAGCACAAACACAGGCTAGGTAGAGAATGGATGGAGAGCAGCCCTGGAGAGAAGGGGCTGGGGTTGCTGGTGGATGAGAGGCTGGATATGACCCAGCAATGTGCAGTCACAGCCCAAAAACCCAATTCTATCCTAAGCTGCATCAAATAGAGTGGCCAGCAGGGCAAGGGAGGGGATTCTGCCCCTCCACTCTGCTTTGGTGAGACCCCACCTGCAGTGCTGCATCCAGCCCTGGAGTTCACAAGGTAAGAAGGATATGGACCTGTTGGAGTGAGTCCAGAGAAGGGCCACAAGGGCTGGGCAGAAATTTTAACTGGCTTAATTCCAGAAAGAGGAATAGCAGCACACCAGTTGGCTGAACTCATGCATTTCAAAACAAAGCTAACATAAAGATCTGTAATAGGTACTAGCTGCCTTATATACTCCCTAAAAAAATGTTAAAACTAGTGCTGTTTTTCTGGTTCAAAATATTAATGAAATTATGAACAACATGGTACTCTAACCCATTCTGAGGAAAAGAAAGTTTTGAATGCAGCCCTGGGAAATATGCTAAATAGTTCCTTATTAATGGAAGTTTACTGTATTTTTATAGAAAAAACAATTCCCCTTTCTTTAAGTACGTATAAAATATAAAATAAGTATGTATAAATACAAGGTATGCTTGTATTTGTATCACACATTATCACATTATTATTACATTCATTAGTAGCTGACTTGCCTTTTAAGATCAACAAATTAATCAGAAATGTGTAAGACTTGAATTTAACGTTACCTGTTAATCACCAGTAAAAACAACACAGAAAAATCCTTAGAATAGGATAATAAAAATGAGTTACAGGCTTCTAAAGGATTGATTCTTCACTTGGGGATACTCTTCCTACTAGAAATAGCAGGACTAGAAATGGCAGCTAACCTACAGTTTTAACCAATTCATATAGATTACTCTTTTTCGTCTTGCTTTCTATGATCAAATCTTTTTTGGTATTCTCATACCAAAAAAGAGAATACAATCTTCAGCTATGTTAGTATTTTGCTGCTTTTACTGGTTACATCACCCTATACTGACATAAATTTTTGTTGTTTCATCTGTCACTCAACTAATATTCCAGTATCTGACACTTCTTAAACAAACCAATCAATTACAGACCTAATATTGTCTCACACTCAGAAAATTATGCATGAAGTTCAGCCAAAAGGCTTCCTTACTTTTAATGTTCTCTATTTTTAAGTTATTAACTGCACAGAGACATGAAAAAGAACATATGAAATATACAATCCTGAACTTTGTATTAAGAATTTTCTTTTATTCTCGTCAACCAAAGTGGTCGCCAACTGGTTGTACACTCACATATTCCAGTTAAATGAGTAGTATCAGTAGAGCAACATGCTACCATTTTTGGCATGTCTACACTTTCTCTTAGCTACTATGACATCTTATGAAGAAATCTAACTATTTAAGCAGGAATTTTCAATTAAAAATGACAGGTGGCTACATCTGTTGTTTTAGAAGTCAATAGGGATCACATTGTCTCCAGAGCAAGCTGTTCTTCTGAAACATTTACTGAAACAGTTCTCCTCTGTCCCATTTGTTTTTTCTTCCTAAAATGCAAAATCCCTACAACATCTTGGAAAACCTACGGGGCCCAATTTTACAACAAATGTTACAATGTTCAACAACACTTCATCTTTTAAGGAAGGGAGTTTTATAAGACTTGCACAGAGGTTGTGTAGATTTTGCACAGTATTGCATATGTTGGAACAGCTCCTCTGCTGAATGTTGTTCTGTCCATGTAAACTTCCCAGATATTCCTCGTCATATAAAGTGACATAAACAGAAGTAAATGGAAAAAGTATTCATTCCAAATCCTTCTGAATGCTAAAAATGCCACAGGTAAGAGTGCTTTTTTAAAAGACAAGTTTATACTACATACATTTCCTCTGTGACTATCATACATATCTTTTTTACTGCTGGGAATGTTGATGGGAACAGACATTTTCAGCAATAACAGCAATTTAACAACCCACCTGATTTTGCCAGCTGTTTTGTCTATGGATTGTCTTATCTTGCGAGAAAACTGGAAGACTGAGGACAACAGCAAACTGTCCCCCATAACCTGCAATAAGTTTTTAATAAAAAAGGATATTATTAGTTTAATAGTAAGAAGTCCATATATTTTGGTATCTTTAACTATGAAAAAAATCTTACTTATGTTTTAATTAGTATCATATATAATGATATTTGAACATCTTGCCAATAAAATAATACATAATTTTTCCCAATAATAATGCCACCTGCTAGAGTTAGAGAAAGGATATTGTCTAGAATATTAAGTGGGGAGATAATTGTAAAAGCTTAAAATTGACACATTCTTAGAGAGAATCCTGTTGTGTGCTCACTTCATCTCTGCTCCAAGTCCTTCTGCGGGTAATTGTTGGGGGATCGAGAGCCTCTGTCAGCTGAGGTCTGGCATCACTAGGCCGACCATTCCCTTCCGGGGGTTTCGCATGCACTATTGGAGGGATTTTTCTAAAATTGAGACTTTCATCAAATACTCGGTCCACCAACTGCAGGATAAAAGAAAAATGAAGTTCATGAAATCTACTGGATACATCCAAAAATCAGATTACTGGGGTTTTTTCTCCTGAAACAGTTTATAAGATGCCTATCAAATAATAATCATTCTGATGTCTTTTATAATATAAAATGATGCATCTTTTATGTAAAAATATCTTGTACAAATGAACAAGATTTGGGTTTTTTTTTAAATATTAGACATACATGAAAACTTAGACTAACCCACTGAAATTTTGCTTATGGGAAAGTAACATAATAGCTACCTATAAACTGGTACAGAATAATTTATTCCTTTGATTAATGGAACATATCTGTGGAATTAAGAAGAGTACTCTGAGATTTAGGGTTTTTTTCCAAATTAGTCATAGTGCTACAGAAAGACCTATATTACCTAAAGGAGGTACTGCCACCTGCAGTATGTACACAATGCACCATATTTTTTGAAGAATAATTATTTAGTAATAAAAAAAATTGGAGTGATCTAACTGGATCTGAGAAAAAGAGCATTTTACTTCTTTGAAGTTTAGCTACAGTCTATGAAAATTAAACCCAAAATCTATGTGAGTGCATTTATAATTTTTCTAAGTACCCAGCTCACAGATTTCTTATTGCTGTTTATATCTTTTTTTCCACAGAAAAAGACAGTATTAAACTAACAACAGTAAACTAGTGTATTAACCAAAATTTATGCACACAAAAATGAATAAAACACATTTTGAAAAGAATATTATGAAGAAAAAAATGCATTGAACATTTACAACACAGTATTATGGTGAATTGTAACATGGTAGAAAATGATGATTTAAATTCAGATTAACATGTTTACCAGCATTAGACCTGTGATGGTTACTAGAACACGTTAGTCAATATATTTATAGAACAACACATCCAGAGGTAGGCAAAGAAAATAAGAATTATTAGAAGCATAAAGCAAACTTATTTCAAGGCAGTTTTTGACAATGTTACTAAGAAAGAAAATCTAAAGTTAACTGATGGTACCTAAGTATTTCAGTGATCAGAAGATGAAAGTTTATGTCACCTGTGAAAAGAGGGACTTTTTTGTTTTTAATAGCTAAGCAAAGAGTTAAATGTATACATTTAGTTGTGCATACACACTATTATCTTTAAATGCACTTAGATACCATTCAACAGTATCTAAGGCTACAGAAAAGAGGGAAACAAATAACTATCTTGTCCTATGTTTCGTGGAAAAAAAGAGACAGACAGATAGTATGCATCCTTTTGACAAGCTGTGTTCACAAAATAACTTCTGGGTTGCTTGCTGAAATGCAAAGGAACTTCAAATCAAAAAAAGCAATGTAGAGATCATGCATATGGGTTGAGTGGAAGTAACTAAAAAGACTATGCAAAATGCTAAAAGCAAAAGAAATAAAGAAAAGGAAGAACCTTATGCATTTCTCCATGAAGATCTCCTACCTCTTCTCTAGTGTCTATGGCAGAGCCAGGGGTGGTGGCAGCAGTGCTTACTGTGGTACTGGGGGCAGTGCCTGATGAAGTCACTGAATCTATCTCTCCTGCTACATCGTTGATTTCCCGTGCGATGAGAGCCAGATCTTGACTGATCCTAGTAATAAAGAGAGTGTTACATTCTCCCCTACAAATGCTTTTGGGCCAATAGAGCCCAATCTGCAGCCTTTGAGGCTGTAAGTTCTAGTTTCTGGTAACCATGCTATGAAAACGTGCATGCCTTTCTAAACAGAAAGATAATTTGTAGAACCGTAAGAGCAAATTTTGACTGAAGCTTTTAATAGCATGCCTTTCTAGAGGATGAAGGTGGAAGGTGATCTCGAAAGACAGAGTATCCTTGTTTTCTTCCTAGGATTCAGATAGATGCATGCAATATGCAGTATCTCTGACAGAGAGGATGCATAGGAAATATGCTGAAAATACTGCACAGATGAGCTGTGTAACGTGGCAGTAAATCCGAAATGTTCAGAAAACATTTAATTTGTACCTTAGTTTGCCTACTTGAAAAAAACATTCTCAGGACTTTTGATATTCAGGCAGCTGAGCACCTCGCTCAGATCAAGCTGCTTATGGGTCTGAAATTCCAGACCAATACCCTAAATCCTCAAATGTAATCAAGACAAGTTTATCAGCCACAAAAATAGAATATACCTTTAAAAACCTGGATATGATAGTGTTACAAAAATACAGCTGAATTCTCAGCCAAAGATTCTTTCTTTTCTTCTGATTCACCGCATCAAAAAAACAGCTTTGCTCTGGCTTGCTCTGCTAGTGCTACTCCTCCCCAGGACATCCCAAAAGAAGAAAAAAACCCCACAAAGCAAAAGCTAAAAGCCCTTACTAACTATGGCACCCTGAATCTCCAGCTTGGATCACAGAGTTGATCAGAGCAGACTGCCAAGTGATCCCTTTTTTCACACTTCTGCCTGACAGCACTGAAGGCACAGAAGCTGACAGTGCTACTTCTGTGCCACCGAGGACTCAGTGACATGCAAGACCTGCCACTCAAGTGGAAGGTGGTGCACAGCCACGTGACAGTGACACACCCTGGGCTCCACACAGATTGTGTTCAAGGTGAGCTTCCTTCTGCTTTTAATTTTCACTTTGTCTTCAAGTCAAAAACAATGGACACCACTGGCCTAGAGATAGCTTAAGACTATGTGAACAGAATTTCAGCTAGAAAGGCAAAACACAGCTAGAGAAATTTCCAGCCAAATTCCAACACTGGATTTTGTGGCGAAGCATCAGCAATCTACAATGAAGTGCAACTTTGTGCAGCTTAGATACACATAAAATTGGAAGAAGGCTGTTGACAAATATGTGGCAACTTAGACATGCCATTAGAAGTCCAATAGTCTTAGTAGTAGGGATATTAAAACAGCTACTTCCTTTGTTTCATACAATCATCTAACTTTTTCCTTAAATAGAGAAGTTGCTACTATTCACATTTGATTTTCTGGGACAAATTCTGGTATTTAATGAGTAGTTGTGAAGAAAATAAAACCAAGAGATTTCAATTATCAGCAAATTTTCCAGAAGAGAAATGTCATTAAACACCATAATCAAAAGTAGCATCAATTAACAAAGACTTAACTCTTCACAGAAATCAGCAATGCTTCAGTATTACACAAGCACTTCATGCGAGTTCTTACCAAGAAATCAAAACTGCATAAAGTGCCAGATCTCTATATAAAAATTAATTCCAGTAAATCCCGGAAGTATGAGAATAAACAACTCTAACATCGATGGCAAGGAATTTGGTAGATAATTACCACAGTCAAGTATCAGTCATGTGAACAGAATGTGGAATCATTTTCTATGTGACAGTAAGCTATAGTCCAGTACTCAGTTACATTTCTGTATAGAAACAATATAGAGCACTAAACAAGAAGCATTGTGAAAAAGATTAGAAACCAGCTTTGAGCTGAGCCTAACTTATGAAGTTTTAAAGCAATTCTACATCAACTTTCAGAAACAGAAATTTCTGCTTAAGTATAAGGAGCATGCTTTGTGTAATCAGGGACAAGAGACTTAGGCTTTAGTTGCACACTCTTTACTCTGCTACAACTTGTGGGCTGCCTTGCAGATCTCTACTGCTTCCAGCATCAGACCTAGCAGTCATACAAGGCAAATCAATTCACAGAGGCAAAACTAATAAATATAAAATTCCCTAAATCCCTCAATCCACTCCAGGAAATACTTTACTAGATTCACTTAGTGAATATTTCAGATTCACTCAGTGAGCAGGCTCAGACAGTTATACAGGGAACACTCAGTTCCCAACACATAAGTAAAGGTGAGAACACAGGGCTTGGGATGGAGAGAGCATGACCTCGAGTCCCAAAAGCCTGGAACTCTAGTTCTTATTTACCTGTAGTCAAAGAATGCCCATTGCTAGAATAAACCACAAGGTAACAGGAATACTTCTAAGATATCTGTAATAGTGCTGAACTACTGGATTGCTAAAAACATTTTTATGCTTAATCTACTATGTAACACTTCATATACTGAGTCAGTGGATTTTGTAACAATACTTTAACATCCTTAAATAAAATATACATTAAGCTCCCATTATTCCGAGGGTGTGAAATCCCTCCAGATCAAAGCGGTCTTAAATCAAATTCAGTTATTCCAGAAATTTTCTCTAAACACCTCTTTCAAATTTTCAATTTTATTAATATCTGTAAAACATGAAGTCTGTGAAAAGTGCAAACTGGGTCAGTCATGGAGGACCAGTTAGAACACAGTATGTATGATGGTTACACAGACAAAATGTTTGCCTCTACACTACTTTCTGCTACACAGGAATATTATGAAAGGTCAACAGCAACAACAAAAATAAGTCAACTAATTTTAATGAGAGCATATAACCATCTATTAATTTTTTAAAAAATCTAAATGGAGTTGAAGGGACCCTGAACATGGACTGATGGCTGGGATGGAAAAAATACCAAACAGGGTAGGCAACAGTAGAGCCTATATTAGCAAAGAAATAAGCAGAGACAAGAAGTACCTTATAGAGGACAGAAGTCAAAATTAAAGCCAGGGGAGCAAAAATGTGAATCACTACAAAGATATGGATACACAGAAAAGGTGAACTAGTGACCTACAGCAAGTACTCTCAGCAGATGCTAAAACTGGTACTGGAAGCAGTGACAACAGACGACAGTAACCTGGAATTTCTCAGATGCTAAATGCTACTTTTTTTTTTACCTTACATAAGCTCATTTAATGCAGGTTGTGTGGAATTTCTAGAGAAAGCTAAAAATTTGGCAATACTTATTTGAGCCCCTCAGCATTTCCACTGAAAATAAAGCTGAAGAGGTAGGATAAGTACACAGTCTTTAAAAAAGATTTAAAATTTTAAATCCAACACATCAATTTAGGAAAGGTAAGAATCCCAAGGGAAGAGAAAAACCTGCAAACCTAAGCATCAAATTAGTTTAGACTGAATCATCAATTACTTCCAGGGTCAATCTCTCGTAGGTGAGCAAAACATACCAAAAAGTTTCACTGAACTAGAGGTACAGCAGTACTATTTATCAGGAGGAACTAATATGCTATGGCTATCAATTATTTTTCCCGTATAAACCCAATCCTTTCTATAACCATTTCTAACTTTAGACTTCAGAAAAGAAAGAGATGTTCAAGGAAGATGATTTTGAAAACTTTATTTCATTATTTATCCAGATACTATGAGACTCCCTTAGGTATCTTCTGTGTGCCTCTCAGGCCTCTACATCTTCCCTTTCCACAGATCACACTAGAAAAACAAATGTTGAAAAATATTACCAAAAGCAGGAAACAAAAAAAAAATTAGTCACACTAAGCAAAACACTTTCACAGTACTAAGAAAATACTCCACACTATTAAAATGAATCTGAAAACATATTTATTGTTTAGGCTTCCCAATTAAGTTCTGTGGAGATCTTTGGAACCTGAACACTGACATCTAAGTATTAAATAATATTTACATGCTTGTGGCAAGCTCTCTGAAGTTTTCACTGCCTGGGTGTTGCATGGAATAACTGGTTACCAGAATGTGCAACAAACTTTTCCTTGGTTCACTTGAAGCAGAATGGTATCAGCAATAACAGAGGTAGTGATATACTAATCTCACGGACTTGCAGAAAAAAAAATAAATTACTTTTTGGTGAATAGGCATGACTTAAATCAGAAAGTACCTAACATGAAATAATGTCTTGATAAATCAAAAATTAAAATGAGAACATGGTCTCTAGCATTCCAAATCTTACCTTTTTCTCTCTGTCACCTGTGATTGATCTCAAATTTTATCTCAAATTTTATCTCAATATGTAAAGGTAGCACAAAATCACATAAATTTCAGCCTCAGGAATTCCCAGTAATGCAACTGAAAGTTCATCTTCTAGGATCTGGCTGTCATAAAATTTTCCACTAAAAAGAGATGTGCTGGTGATGTGAGTGTTCTGTCTGCCAATCTCTCTTAAGATTTTTAAGTTACTCATTCAGTTAGTGAAGGAAAGCAGTAAGTAGTGATACAGAAAATCTATCAGCTCTCTCTGTCCTCTATGTGCACCTGTACAAGTGGTTGGGTACAACGCTGTGCTATTTTGGGGTCACTCCTTTCAAACCAACCTTGCTATCTCTTCCCGGTGGGCAGTCCAGTCACGAATGTAGTCTTCCTGCTCCTTTATCCTGTGCTTGAATGTGTTGCTGCTTTGAGCTGCTGTCCCAGCGCTCTGCAGTCGCGTGGTTTTCAGGGCTGGAGAGGTACGTAGACGGGTATGTTTAGGGGAATTACGGTTTGATCCGAATTCATCTTCTGAGGTGGAAGCATAATCTGTAGGAAAGCGCCTCCATCTTGCACTTACTAAATTAGTTTAATTATTGAAAAAGAATTATTATGGCATCTTTAATAAGAAAAAACAGCATTATTTCAATAACATCACAAAAAAACCACAGCTATTCATTATCCATCCCCAGGTACCTCACAAAAGGTTTATTTACTACATCTTAAAAAGAAAGCTACAGAATTTGTGTTAAATTAAAAATATTGATTAATAAAAACATAAAACTAATGCTCTTTGTACAGTGATGAGTGAAGTAAGATGTAAAAGCCAGTGATCGTACATGAGCTCAAACAAATTGCATTACAAAAACAAGGGCCCAATTCATTAACATTTAAGTATATAGTCAGATTGCACTTTTTCTGCAGTTTTTTTCCCCCAAATTACATTCAAGGTTTATTGGTACAAAGAAAAAAAAAGAGATATGAAGGAAGGATGGAGGTGGCACCAAGCTTGGAATGCATGCTTACATAAGGAAAGCATAAAACTCCTAGAAGATGCATAGGGCTTTTCCAACCTTAATAATTCTATGATTATGTGTTTAGTAAAGAAAAAGAGTTTGTAAAATTAATATTGTGTCATGAAAATCTGCAGCACATCCATAAGAGAAGCAGCCTCAGAGAAAGAAGTAAATATTCTGACATGCAGCACATAAAGAATTATACAGCCATGTTGCTGAGGACAGCCTGAAGTACAGGAGAACTGAAACTAAGTAGGAGGCTCCTGTCCCCTTATGAATTACTGAAGTCTAGAAAATGGATTTCAGATGTGCTGTCCTCAAATATTTCCATCAGGAAGAGATGCCAACAAGTGTAAAAAAATCCCCATCACCACCAACTGCTGAATTGTTGCAGGGGATTGAATACCACAAATTCATTTGCATCCATGAGGCTATGTCAATACTGCAGAAAATGAAGTAAGTGTGTGACCACCTATTGGTGATTGACAAATAATAGACTCGAACAATGTGAATTGCTTTTTAGTATTAAAAAATGCAAGAACTAATAATGATTTCTCCTGATACATTAAAAAAACTCCAACATTACAAATGAAGTATACATCAATATGAATTTAAGACAAATAATGGAAGTAATTTTTGCATAATGCAACGATTATGGTATGTAGAATATGATACTGGTATATAAGCTTGCATCCCTTCCCTCATATAAATAATAAAATTTCAATTGCTGAAAACAAAAATATCCTTGTGTAATTTTTTCAGATTTAAATGTGAGTTTTAAATTATGTCCATTCTACTTTTTTTTAAATTATTTTTCTAAATTTATTGTAGAAAGTAGCAATGTCTCCCCAATAATTTTCTGATCTCTTTCTGGAGTTTTCAAACTTGTTTGATCTTAGGGAAGTAAAACGTGAGCAGAAAAAGTACATTTTCCCACAAACAGCATGCAAGCAATGTGTGACCAAAGTCCAAAGAGATTTATGAGCTGGGCCCACATTTTTTCATCCATTTTTTATTAAATTCTTTGTCCCAGTTAAAATTACCTTTTTCCAAATAATTGTAAAATGTATCTTAAAATCTCTCAAGTGAGATAGTTCAGCAACTCAGCACTGTACAATGAACATATGTAATAATATATTTAAAAATTAAAAATTGAATGAGAAGTGAAATATCAGAAACAGATTTGATTTCTAGTACTCTACCACTGTAAGTTTCAACATCATGGTCTGGGTCTGGGAGAAGCTTGGATTTCTCTGTGTACAAAATAGTGTTTTGTCATGTTAATTATATTTAAAACATTCAGATTAAAAGCATTTGCTTAAATAAAATATATTGATGAGATTAGTCTTACGTCCTCTTTTCCACCCACACATTTTTAGGAAAAGATTACACTTTCAATCAAAAATACTGAATTTCGTAAAGGCTTAAACATTTCAGAGATACTAACTGAAATGACATTAATAACAATCATTTATAGCATTACATAGTATCATAAAACCCCTATTTTTAAGACCATTAAATTTTAAGGCCTTGAAATGTTGGGGTGTTACGTATTATCAATATGTAGCTTTTTAATATGAGGACAAAATTATTGTAGGCCTAGCAGTAAAAGCCTCCAAATTGTGTAATTCATGACAAGCATATCCAAGCATGTTTCCCAGTTCGGTATAGTGGTAGCTATACATCTGCATATATATGCTTTTAATACTATCTTTAAATTATGCAGGCCCAAAATGACATTGTAGTTCATATACTTTCATATACATTTCTGAAAGCTGTTGTGCAGTTGCTTATCTCAGACACCAAAGACTGTGAATATCAGTACCTCTAATAGAAAATCCTCCAAAACCCTGCCTGGCAAATTTGGTGATTTGGACAACACACTCTCACTTCAAAGATCTGAGAATAAATTTAATTGAATATATTCCCTAAAAAAAAATTTCTACTCTCATTGAGCACTGACTTCTCAAGCTGCATCCATTTCCAATCTCCTACTACTAAAATGTAAGTGCTGTTTTTTCTCTACTATCAATTTCTTTTCCACCACAGTTACTTCAACAGATTTGATCAACCTATCTGCCAGCTACTTGTAATGACAGCTAGGTCAGCAAGCCAGCAGAGCTGCAAACACAACTGGCTGCTCAGGGTCTCTGTTCTGACTCAATACTTAATTTTACAGTTACAGCTTAGCACTCTCGCATGAGGTCTGATCCTGCCATTTGTTTTTCCAATATACAGCTCCTTCTGTATCATCACCTTCAATTTTCCTCCTTTGCTGTGAAAATAGGTCTTTGGTCTCCTCTGTTTTTATTGATCACAGTCTACTGTTTGATGATACAGTGCCTTGATCAGACCTTTCACTTCTTGTGCTAAAGTTACTAATTCTGCTTCACGTGTCTTCACAGAGTTGTCAAGTTATGAAGCCTCCTACCACAGAATCACTTGAATGCTGACAGCTCTCATCCAAGATGTTCCATTTATCTGCTTGCCCCTTCATATAAAAGTAAGCAATACTTCACTGCATCAAGGATTAGAAATGATTCTTGAAATTCACACTTGTGGCTAGCTCTGTCATTTTTAACCCTATCATCCACATGAAATACAAGACAATGAAAAAATTCCAGAAACTGCATCTTATTCTTGCTCTTTTTTTACAGGTATATATGTCTGAACATTGATTTGGGAAGTGCAGAAATAACTTTCTCTTTGTAGGCTGCCAATGTTTACTGATCTATAATGTGGTATTATTAACTACCTCAGATGAGATAACCCATGGAACATATTTAACATTTTGAGAACAGCTAGTAATCCAGTAAAGGAAACAAAACCCCAAACCCAATGCTGGTAATAATCATTCATTTTCCAGTCTTTCTATGTCCAAGGAGTGAAGAAAATCCATTCCTGTTATACCTTGATTAAATGTGCCTGAAGTAAAACACATGCAAACAGTTGAGGCACTTTAGTCAAGGACTTCATTAGTACTTTCCAAAAGTGCTAAAATTAATTGAACTGTTGAATATTCTAGAAAGAAAATTAAATCAAGGAATTAAAAGTGGCCTGTATGTAGCTAGAGATGATTTATACAAATACTCCTATAAACACTAGAAGATTACACTACTTTCAAAGCAATTCAGATTTTCCTAAAGTATAATCTAAATAAATCAGTAAAAAAATTACACAGTAATGTTACTGATACAGAAAAATTCAGAACTCTAAATGCTAAACAGTAGTAATATTTTTTACTTATATGGTAACAAGACTTAATTGGTTTATTTAGCAATGATTTTGTTTTGAAAGTATCTGACTGCTTCATTAATTGCTTTCATATTCTGGCCTTTACATTGATAGGCTTCTCCACTGATATATATTAACTAAAAAAGTTTTGCAAGACAGAAACTGTTACTAGCGTAGATTTTTCTAACTATGGTGTTTTTAAATTACCTAGATTATTATGCTGGGGTACCCATGAGCAGATGGCATCTTTTCTCTCTTGCAAACTGTTTTATACAAGCTACAGTAAGCTTTGACTGTGTGACGCAGGGAAATAAACATTAGCAAAGACAACCAGTGATAGACTAATAGAGTAAGAACAGAAAGATACACTCACTTCCACTTCCCTTAACAGAAGCAGCAAACCACTTCAATGCAGCAACCTGGGAACAGTTTAAGAAGCCTGCAATACTTCACATAGACACAAAACTCAAAAATCATATAGAGTTTTGTGAAAAACAAAAGTGGTGAATTGACAACATCTGGGCTTTACCTTTTCAAAAATCAGCATTATCATAACGTGAACTAGTATTCACTATTAAAATAAACATATGTAAGTCTTAACTGACACTTCCCTTCCCTAGTGTTGCCACCTTTCAGGCTGCATCTTCAATTCAAAATTTTGACTGACATTGAAAACATGCTGCTCTTCCAATTATATCTTACAAGGAAAGACAGAATTTTTATTTGAAGTGTCATCTGTTTTGTACCTTTGTACCTTTGTAGACACCTCTCATAATATCAAACAGAATTAACCCTCCAGTTCAGCAAACACCTCATTTGTATCTCAGCAGAAATTTCTATTAGGCTAATGCTAAGAATCCTGACATGGTCCATTTATTATATAAAAGCAACAGAAGGACAAGCAACAGAAGGAGTGTGGGAAATTAAGTATCACAGTGGATTACATCAAGTCTAGAAGGGATGTAGCAAAATTTCAGTGCACTACAACACTGGAAGCTATTAATTTTATTCTGAGCCTATGGATTGACTGCAATATGGTAAAGCTACTAGCTTGACAATTCTAAAAGGAAGCAGACATTTATTTTAGATACTCATTTCACAAGGAAGTTGACTTTTTTATAATTATCACGTTTTATTTTGATAGATTTAATATTGCTGTTGAAAAACCCTACCAGCTTTCACACTGCTTGCACTAAGAATGTTAACTTCAAACAGAATAGTAAGTTAAAATTCATAGATTGTAAAGATTTTTCATTCCAAATGTAAGACAAGGTAGGGTAACCACCACACCAAAGAAGATCAACATGATCTGGAAATCATGATGAAATCATAAATTGCCACGATTTGGAACACAGAATGGGAAATAATCCAAGATAAGGCAAACCCTTTAAAAGAAATCACTTTATGATATTTAGTTAGGTAATACACAGTTTTTCAATTCATTACTTCAATGTTATTATTCTTATTAAAAATTCCTGATTGCCTGTTTACAATCCTACCTTAAAAATAAATATTGTATCTTCTATGTACTAAATAGTGTTGCTGACCTGAACTTCTACTACCATGATTTGAGTGAAGAGATCTTGGCTCTGTTTTTGCACTAAAACAAATGATTACTGATGCATATGACCATCCCAATTCAAAAGTTCTGTATTACTGGTTTCAAGATAAAAACATACCAGAGTTAAAGGATTACAATTTCTTTTCTGTATGATCTTAAATGAGAAACCTCAACAAAACCTGCCATAGAAGCAAACCTCTTAGTCCTTCTTACTTTAAAACTGACAAATTTCTTACTTAAAGAAAAAGACTGCATCAACTAGAACTCAACAGTTTCATAAGAGCTCTTTCTTAAATAGTTTTGTTTTAAAAAAACACAAGTGAAAAACATCTAGTATTGTACAAAATTATTTCAAATAATCTCACATACCTGAGGGAGAATTATGAGCCGAAGCCAAGGATTTGGATTTTGAATCCGAAAGTCGAGAAATGCTATTGGCTCGAGTTCTAGCAGAAACTTTAGTGCTATCTCCTCCTGAGAGCAACCTTGAACCACTTCTGATAATAGCTTCTGGGGTGCGTGAGGAGGCAGTGCTTCTGGTTATTGTTGCTTCAGAATCGCTACGTGCTGATAAAGAGCCAAGTCGATTTCTGCGGGGTTGAGCGAGTAAGTCTATTCTGGAAATATTTCTCCTCCCTGATGGAGGTTTTGACGTAGAACTTGTAGTGGACACTTCAGAAGCTACTGAAGCCTTATCGGCATCAGCAAGCTCACTATCTGAGACTTCACCAAGGCGTGCTCTGCGTAAGAGAGAAGTCCTTGTGGGACGAGGTCTTGGAAGAGTGGTAGATTTACTAGACTGCCCAAGTCCAACAGGAGAGGATTTTGATTTAGCTGACTTTCCTTCCATCTTGGAATGTACAAGTTCATCTGCTGAGGCAAAAGGAACTCTTCCGTGTGATTTGCCAGAGTAGGTTTCCTGGTCAGATGACAGGATATCAGAAATGGCAGAATGAGGTACACTGGATGTTTGGTCATCATCTGTTAAATCTACTGATGGTTGTCTCATTCTTCCACTGGATTGCACAGCTTTGCGAGTGTCAGCTCTAGACCCACCATCTGAAGATCGACTCTTAGTTTTCTTTTCCATTTTTTCTCTTGCACTTGTAGAAGATTTTAAAACATCCTTTGAAGGGGAACCAGTGGAACATCTGTCTTTATATAAGTTTGTAAAGCTCTTCCGCTTCTGTGTGGATTTTCTTTCAGTGTCACCAGTAACAAGACTGATTGTGCTGGCTGTATCAACATCTGATTCTGGTGATATGGAATTATCTCTGTTATAACTAGGAGTGTCAGGACCTTCATCAGTTTTATTTTCTTCACGCAATTTAGCTTCAAGGAAAGCCATTACAGCTTCTGTGTCTTTTAAAATGAGTGTTGTATCTATACTGGAATCAGTGTCCATTGAATCACTTCTGTCACGTAACCTGCTTGCAGATACTAAAGGGGCAGCAGAACCACTCTGCTTATTGATGTGAGGAATAAGTTCTATAGGTATATTTGTGCTAGGCTTATCTATAGTAAAGCTACCTTGCCTCACTAATGGTTTTGAAGACTCCTTTTTTTCTCCTCCAAGTACTTTAGGACTTTGGCCTCTAATGATTTCCTCATTTTTTCTTCTTTTTCCCTCAATCTGTGCCAACTTAATTTCTGCTTTATCTGTAACATGTCCAGGAACATTGTCTTGATTATCCAAAGTTTTGGGTGACACAGCAATCTCCTCCCTACCTTTCTCAACCTGGTTTGCAGCAGATTTTGTAGAGGATAATTTTGAGGGTGTCCAGTGACCTTGCTCCTTTCTTTCCTGTTGTTGAATTTTTGCTAAAGCTTGTTTCACCACAGAAGTTTCTCGGCCAGTTTCTACTCTCTCTTTACTAGAAGAGCTGGGAAAAGAGAAAACTTTGTCTCCAGTAGCTTTGGGTGAAAGACCATTCATTGTTCTGCTTGACTTAGCATCTGAGGCACGAGCTGGAGTTTCTTTCTCCTGAAGTTCAGTGTCTTGCTTTTCACCTATTTCTGACCTCTGATGAGATACAGTTTTTGGTTTTAAGTTTTCATTCACTTTCTCCTCTATGGGAAGCTGTGGAAGTGTCCTCCTCTTTCGCTCACCTTGGCTAGTCATAGAAGCAGCTGAACCAGCGCTTCTAACAGAAATACCAGACTCACTGATGTCAGTGTCTAAAAATGAATGAGAAAAAATTATTTGAGAAAACATTCAACAACAAGGCACATAGAAAGATCAAATGTTTAAGACTGCATAAGGCTAATACAACACAAAACAGAACTGAAAAAGCCATCAGTCCATCCTGCTGGATCAAGGCAAGATCAAGTATATTTACACAAGTAGAAAAACTTAACAAACTCTATTAGCTGGCTGAATCACATATACAAACAAAGTTTTTATGATCTCACAGTAGGTTAGAAGAGGTAAGAAATCACTGTTCTATCAATCAGCACAGCATTACAACAGGAAGTGGAAAGCAAGTCTTAGATTCCTAAACGTCTTTTGGACCAGATTTCAAAACTAACAAAAAGAGTAAGATCCTCTTTCTTCCTTCCCTACTTGCCTGTTCGACAGCTCAATGTCTGTCTCATGGACAGACTACAACTTCTCCCTGTGAGTCCTCACCTCACTCAGTCAAGAATCTGCAGTGCTGGGAGACACTTCTCAGCAATATTGAAAAGCCCCACTCATGAACAAAGAACCTACTATGGCTGAAAAAGCAAAAATGTTTTTATCTCAAACAAGACACTGTAGTATAAAAATACACAGAAAACGTATACAAAGCATCAAAAGAATGCAGTACAACTGCTAAAGCACTTTCATTGAATTCTTAGTGTACACAGAATGAATGCTCCTTCGGCAGAAAAGTATGGCCATCCCATGGACTGTTGCAAGGAGTAACTGTTTTAGAAACCAAACTTTATTTTTCCACAGTGATGATGACTGTGCCCTCCTTGCCCATTTAGCAAACACAGCAGTTGTGGTGCTAGAAACAAGCCTTTATTACTCAAAGGTGATGTAAGTTGCTCTATGAATTGCTCTGACTTTGAATATTTGGATAGAAAAAATTCTTTTTGCAGTTCATTTGTCTGCTGTTGTAATATAGTGTGACACACTTAGTAACAGACATCTGTCAATTCCGTTTTTGCCAGGAGAGATCTATAAGCAACTGCTCTGCATACCCTGTTGGGACTTTCCTATCACAGCTTGCCTCCAACTTTGGTTGCTCCAGGAGTCAGAACTGGAGTATAGGGTTTCCCTCTCTGCAAGAATCCTCTAAGCAATTAACTGAATATCAACAATCATGCTGCATATATACCTGCTACTTTATATTCATGTTCTTCAATTTATCTTTTCTCTTTGCAGTTTCACGCTTTGATGAAGAATTAAAAAGGACTCAGCTTTCTTCTTCTGTAATCTATGTTAAGACACTGATTTGAGAAACAGAAAGTACCTCTGAAATCTAAGCAAGGTTTTCTAATTCCAGGACTGGGTTTTTTTTCTTGAAAATTATGAAACAAATTGAAGGTTTAATGAAAATCAGTATGATTGTCTTCTGTGAAGATTGACTTCTCTCCGATGTGCCTACCAAATCAAATATTTTATACATAAATAAGCATGTAACTTGCTTCTTGGTGAATTTCAAAGAGTCTTCAGTTTAAAAAAAGGCATGAAGTTGTTCAGCATCATATTTGGCTATATATGAGTTATGTGGAGTTTAAATACTAAGATTTCTAAAGAAGACACAGGCATCTAAGTCAACAAGACATGTTCTGCAAATTGGTTTTTAGATGTACATACCACATTTTATTTTTATTACACCTTTGGTGCTTTAGTGCTTTGAATGCTTTATTTCCCCTTTAGTATTTAAGAATTCTTGCAGTACAGGTATGCACTACACAGTAGTTACTTCACTTTATCTCTTAGTTCTTATAATGGTAAAAAAAGCCTTTACCTCTCCAAAGAAGATCCTAGGTAGTGCCTTATCTGAACACTACAGAAAACAAAAGACCACCAAAGCACCCGATTAACCACCCAAAGGATCAGTCTCAATAGCAATGATGTTAAGTGTCCTGCATGTACACACACAATCCTTTCAAATAGTGCAAAATTTGCTCTTAATTTCCATTATTCTGTGTGTATCAGTTTAACTTTTCCCCTTTCCATCTCCTTTGACTTTTAGTATCCTAGGCAAAGTTCTATGCTTATGAGAGGAGGAAAAGCTACAACAGGAGCAACGGTCACGGGTAAGAATTCATGCATTGGTACAGATATATGCATTTTGCAACATCAAAAGCAAAACTTCTTTGAAAAACTTCTCCCAAAGACTATCACAACCTCTAAAGTGAAATTGGCAAGAAGAAAAAAGCAGAAGAGAAGTAAGGCAAGTAACTAGTTTATAGTCAAGACTAGACGTTAAAGAATAAACCATTTCAAAATCAGAAATGTGAATAATTAAACTATGGACAGACATGCCCTGAACATGTGGCACTCACAAGAAAAGGAGAGAAGGTTGTTCATCACTAAAGAGAAAGTTTCTGGGCTTTTCAAGAAATATAAAAGGTCTTCTGTATTTCCAAGATAAAGAAGGATGCTATGCTTCAGGTGAAGTCCCTCAGGTTGGATTGTTTAATAATCATTACACTGAAGTCCAATTTAGACTAAAAAATATGTAAGGAAAGAAACATACTATACAGACCAACCCAAACAGTATTTAAGTGAAAGTTTCTCTAACATTAAACAGTGTATAGACTCTCCAGTTTCAGTAAAGTTCAGTGTAATACTAAGCACTCAACTGCCATGCAGACACCACTACTGCTGAGCTTGTTTTTACACTGTTTCTCCTCAATGAAACAGAATAATTTAATGTGAAAATGAGGCATTTGGAGTAAAAAAGCTGATTAAATACAGTACATAATAATTCTTTTCTCTCTTTCACAGGTTTTTCAGCATAAATTATGACAATAAGAACAGTTTTTAGTACCATTTTCTAATGGAGCAGGCCCAGAGGACTCCAATCTCATGTCATCTTGGTCATGACGTGTGTGATTAGCAGCCAAACTGGCCCACTGCGATACCCAACGTTTACTTCCAGGGTTACTAGAACCTTCCTATGAAAGAAAAAAAAAGCAGAAGAAAAATTATAACTGTTTGATTAAAAGCATGCCATCTTTCCAGGTTTTTCCTGAACAGATATGTCAGACATTATTTTCCTGGAAGTTGAAAGAAACAGTTTACCTCAGTAAATTTTAGAGTCCCCAGCTCTAGAATGGCAAACAGCAAACAAAACCTATATAGCTGCTGAATCAGTACCAAATAAACAAGTTCCCAATGCAGTGAACTTTTAAACACCAGAACCTATATAAAATATATCAGAACATGTGCTAGTTCTAAGGTCAGGTTATTTTCATCCTCAGTTCAGAAGTGCAGGAAAAGTACATGGGGTGTGGAGGTTTGTTAAAAAATTAAAAATGTGCTTCGGGAAGACAAGAAAGTGACATTTTACCGGTTTAGATGACCCTCTTGTCCAGATGAAATATTGTATTTACTTCATTACAGAAAGACTACCTTAAGGACTGAAAGAGTAATAACTTATGATGGGATGGAAAGGAAATGAAGCTCAGATTATTTGTTTGGCCTAAACAGAAAAAGAAGCAAAGATTAGTTTTAACCATCCTACTGGGTAACCATGAAGTCAATGTCAGCAGTATTTTACAAATTTTTTGCACCTAAACGAGAAAGGAAATTAATTTGGTTTCTTGATGTCAAGCCTTTTGCAATCTTGAAAACTTTTTAAATGTAAGAAAAGCATAGAATTAAATTATCTTCTTGTGTTACTATAGCATTTTTTTTTCAAAACCTTATTTCTGAATGTTACTGTCTTATCAAATTTCTTATCAAATTTACTGTCTTATCAAATGTCTTATCAATATCTTAAAGCTTCTCTTGCTTACACCTCCAAAAAATGTCACCAGCCTTGCTGCATCTTCTAATTTTCACATTTCTATTCAAAATGCTGATTTTTGCCTGATGCCTTAACTACTCTTGGATTCTAGTCTTTGACCAGGAAACAACACTATACATTCTGTAAAATTTATTTAGCAGAACTAGAATGGTGAACAATGTCACCTATTATAAGACAACCTCTTTCAAATTAAAAGTTACTCATACATTTGAAAAGCTTGAATTTATGATCTTGAATATCTCCTGATTAATGCAAATGAGTGCAACATCAGGAATCTCTTCCAGAATATCATGAATGTAGTAAATCAGAGATGCAGCAGGTAACTTGTTTGAACTATTATACAAATTTCCGTATTTTTAATTAAATTTTAGAATCAAAATTTTATAAAACTCAAGTCTAACAACAGCAAAGGAAGGCAATTCAATGTTTTGTTATTTATGGGCATTTCTGAAGACAATGCAGGGTGCAGGTGTAAGAATACTACAAAAAAACCACAGTATTTATGCACTGAAAACTACCAAACTCCCATTTTTCTTTCCTATCACTAATATTTCTTTTCCTGTCTGTACTACTGAACTTTTATCTAATAAAACAACTAATTATATCCAGATCCAAACATGATAGATGTCCCAGTCATCTTTGCAACAGAAAATTTCAACTAATTCTCTCTGTACCACCAATTTCAGAGACACAGATATGTGGCAGAAATCTAAATTCTACTTCACAATGGAGAAACGCACTAAAATTTTGCAGATTAACTGCAGCAAAACAACCTGATAAATTATTTTTCTCTGAATGTAATTACACTGTCAAAAATGGTTTCTACATTGCAGTGAATGTAAATGTGTGCTTTGCCAGCTCTCTGTGTATAAAAGCACAAACAACAACAGAAATACGCAGTTTCTCTTCATAGAAGTTTAATCATATCCAGAAGGTGTAAGTTTGTGAAACACATATCTAAAGAGTCACGTTCAGTTATCCTAATGTTCTTCCTATAATCCATATCAATTTGCAATTTACAGGCTCTCAAGTAAGCAATACTCCAAATTCTTTGGTATTCTCTTGAATACCAAAAGGAATTTCCTTGCCTTTCAGAAAAGCTGAGTTTACCTCTGAGATACCAACTTTTCACCTTCATGTTAAAACGGCTTTCTCTTATGCTTATCACACATAGTCAACAGGAGTAATAAATATTTGGAAAATGTACCAACAGATTTCTGTGGCTTATTATTCAGCCTCAAGATCTAGGGCTTCAGGCTCCATATTTGAAAAAAATCCACAGCACATACACATTACACCTGAAAGCATCTCCAGTTCTTGGCATTTCAGAGCACAGTAATAGTGTGGGGTTTTTTTGAAATAAATTTCAACAGGTGAATAAAATTGATAAAAAAAATGAAATGTCTTCTCAGACCTATGACTCCAGTCAGTTAGTTCAAGTTACAAGAATCATATTATTTCTTCTTGTCATGAATTGCTGTCTTGAAAGTAGTTCTTCCCTCCTCATTCTACCTGCTTCAGAATCATATGCCTCTGGGGTGATGATCTTTTTACAGATTTCCATACATGACTTATATTTAGAGACAATGTCTCCAAGTTATTCCTGTAACAACACAGACACCTATCCTAAACAGTTATTTTTCTCTTCTATTATGGTTATACATGAAAACCCAGCAGTTGCACCCAACTCAGCTATTACTTTGCCAGACTAATTGAACAGCACTGATCTGTTCTTGTAAAGTAAAGTAAGTGTAAGGTAAATCTCCACTCTCATAACTACTTCAGTAGACTTTGTACCTTCTCTAGACTTGTATCCACCCTTCATGACCAAGAATGGTAACTATTCTAGTACTATTATTACAGGGCCTGTGGTGATAACACTCCCCTTTTCTGCTGATAATACATTTCCTGGGTTTTCAAGGGTCCTGTTTGCCTTTTCACAACCCTGTGATATTGGTGATACATCAGCCTACATTTCAGTATAGCATCTAATTTCAAACAAAAAGTAAGTATCAAACTTCAAACTAAGTGGACTGTTCCACAGGACAGGAAATAAGAGTAATTTCAGAGGACAAACAAAAGGAAATACAGCCTCTAAATACTCCACTTTTAAGCAGCAATATAGCAAATATTTACATGAATTAAATGATTCAATATTCAGAATGTCAGTAGTATTATTTATCTGATCTTCAGTGGGAAAGACATAAAGTAGGCATTCAAATCAGCAAAAGGAACATTGTAGTCAATGGCATTGATGACCCTGCAGATGAAGAACCAGCTCTAACTGAGCTTTAGTCTTACAAAAAAAACCAATAACAAACCCCCCAAAAAATCAACAAAACCCCAAAGCATATCAAATGCAACATTAATAAAACCATTATTTAAGAACCATGCTTAGCACGGACAACTGACCACTGAAAATTAAATGGAAGTTGGATGGATATATTCTAGCCCAAATGCCTGCAGTATTTTTATTAACCAAAACTGTATGGTAAGAACAAATAATAACAACAACAATAATATTATCTTTGTTCTCAATTTACTTAATTTTTGGTCTTTAATCACACTTACCTTGGTTGGCAAGTGGCAGCTTATAATATAGAAAATAAAAACATTTAAGTATTTTAAACAGATAGATTTAGTATTTTCATTGCCTACATATAATCATTGAAAAGGCAATAATCAGTGCATTCAGGCTCTCCAACTGTGTCAAGACACTCTCTCTGCATTGTATTTCATTTATGAAACACACTACTCCAAAGTATTTAAAAAATGTTGTATCAAAGAAGAAGCTGAGAACTTCATTAACAAGAAAAGCATTTCTAAGCATTTTATTAATGATACTTCAAAAGCCCTGTAAAGCTAAGATACTTAAGTTCAGAATCAGCTTTCAGTTCCCAAAATGACTCTAGATGACCCTGTCCTGCCTTGGCAGCGGGGCTGGACTGCATGGTCTCCAGACGTGTCTTCCAACCCTAACTATTCTGCGATTCTGTAAAACTGTTTTTATAAAATCTCTGTAATCTCCCAGGCCATCTTTTTCATCTTCTTGAACAGAAAGATCGTAGATTTTCATTCTTTGCTTTTTCTATGGCAATTGTGTCCTGAATTCACCTCATTCTGCTAATCATGTACAGGAATAACTGATGGATAGCTGGAATAAGGCCCACCCACAATCTGAGTGGATGCAAAACTGAAATACTGAGCTACCCTGACGTTATGTGACTATTTATCCAAGATCTTCAATGAAGTTTATAAACTTAAAATCTGCAGCTCAGTAATGCAGTAAGTCTTCCAAAACCCACAAGAAGAAAAGTTCGTATGAGAACATGACCCACATACTTTACAAATCCAACACATTTGCCTCTCCCTTTCCTACTGACAAAAACAGAGTGCAAGTTTTTGTAATAAGACTTTAAATGTAACAATCTTCTCTCAGTAATTATCCTAATGATTTTTTTTCCCATTATTTCCCTATAAAAGACACCTCTAATTTTCTGAACTAGCTTCTCTTCTACATTTCTATCAAACAACTTCTACTTTTAACTTTCTCTAGTAAGCTTTCTTCTACCTTCATCTGTCCTCAACTCTTCTTACACTAATCTTTGCTCTATCCATGCTGCTTATGGTAGTTTTCCTCCTTGACTTACTGAATAATTTTCATTTTTTTCCCTATCATCATGCCTTGTAATATTTTAAATTATGCTAATAACCTATTCTCTCCCACTATATAAAGACCTTTTAATGCAGCAAAGCAGTCACAGTAATAAAACAGCATAATTCTTGTAATTTCCACTTAAATGAAAGTGATTTTTAGTATGTCATTGCTAGAAGGTTTCTTAAACCTGCTGTATGATTGCAGAAGTAGTCTCAGTCTTCTAAAAACAAAGCCTTTTATTTGCAAAGTTGACACCTGAAAAGCCCAATTATGTTCATAAAATAAACTGTATATTCTTCTTCTGCTTATGGAATTATGAAAGTGAAAAAATATCAGTACTCGTGAAAACTGACAAGGCACAAAATAGCTGAGTGCTGCAAAAGGCATTAAAAAAAAAGAAAAAAATAATATGGTTATAGATTTGTGCAAAGAAGCAAGGTGAAAAATCTTCTGCAGGACGTGCCTATGCTGTATGGCAATACTTCACT